TGAGAAAAACCCTTATAGACTCTTTTATAACAAACATTTCAAATGCCAAGATGACATGCACACATCCAGCCTTGACCTATATGCTCTATTCTAACAACAGTGCACAGCAGATAAAAAGAAATTACTCCTAACAGTGAAAGTCTATGAGGTGTACATACTGAGGACGCAGACCCCAAGAAGCAGCACAGCAGCGTATGCGAAGCAGCTCAGGCAACGGAAGCGACCACCAACCATCTCTGTAGGGACAGGAACAGCATCTGTTTCCTCTGCTGATCTATCAAACTCTGCTGCAACAAGTTAGAACAGGAAAAAAGGGTGGTGAGAGTGGGAGGTTACTGTCAAAGCAGAAGCAGCGAGCAGTTTGCTGCGAGATAAAAAGTAAGCAGAACAGGAAGAACTTAACTGTAAATTTTATAAATGAGAGAGAAAAAAGATCAATAAAAGATCTGGTCAGTCATTTTTTAATAATTAGAAAATCATCATACAGTTCTATAAGGTCAATAAAATGTTAATTGCCTGATTTTATTTTCTATAAACTCTGCAAGTCCTCAAGCTCAGAGATCCTACATTTACAGGCTACTGCAGCAACTGCTAGATCTGTAGCACAGACACAGGTATCAAGGGTCCACATCTGATAAGCCTGAGTAGGAGGAAGCCACATCCTCTCATCAGATATTCTTAAATGCTATAATGATTAGTCTTGCGCTGTAGTCACTTTCACAATTCCACACTGTGTAAAAAAGGTGGGTTTGGGTTTGTGGCAAAAAGAGGGCAGGGACTCTGCTGCTCTCACTTTCTATAGAAGGTTTACTCACTATTATTATAGGGCCAGAGAAAAGACTGAGATGAAAAAACCACATGGTTGAGTGGGAAAGGGTGCAGCTATAGTTGTCTAGACGCAGAAGAGAGTGGGAGTATAGGGTCTGACACAAAGGTAGCAAGGTGAAGCTTTGTTCAGTGTCCTGTAGGCCAGAACTTGGACAGAAACTACTGACCCAGGCTGCCTCCCTGGTAGGAAGTGAACAAATCCTCAACTCCTACCTGTTGTACAGGTACCGTCAGAGGCAGGCTAGTGCTGCTGTACCATAGGTATTTGCTAATATCTGATTTATCTGGTTGCAGTGTGGAGCTGCTAAAATTGATACCACTAATATAAAAATTGGTTTGATAGTTTGTAGAAGTTATTTGTAAAGTATTAAGTATAACTAAGGTGGCTATACATAGTTTAGAAAAGATTTAAAGCTCAAATTACTTTGCAAACTTTAGCAATGTAAGCTAAATGGTGTGTGACAATGACTATATGGTGAGGGGGCTCCACAGTAACAACCATAACCTCTGTCACTACTGCAGACTGCATCTGCAGTCGACAGTGGGAGATTGTGGTTTGGCTGGTCTCAAAAACAGGTCTAAGCAACATCCACAATTAAGTGCAGCTTGTGGGTGGTGGGGTAGCGGAGGTGGGGAGTGTTGCCTGCAACACAACTCGACCTTCAATCAGCTTCACGGCATGCTTACAGATAAAACACTGATGTGAAACTTGCAAATGGAAACACAAGCAGTGGTGTTGCTGCCCACCCAAAGAACAGCCGACTACACCGTGTAACACCCTGTACACTTTTCATTTTCAGCCATTTGGCTTTAGGGCTTGCACTGCTGATCTGTCATTTGGTCTGTTGGTCCACTACTTTGGGCCAGAATATAATAAAATATCTTAACTTTTGGATGGAGGGCAGCACGGTGGAGCAGTAGTTAGCGTTGTTGACTCACAGCAAGAAGGCTCAGAGTTCAAGCTTTGTGCTCTCTCTCTGTACTCTGTCTTCTGCCTACAGTCCAAAGACATGCAGCTTGGGTTGACTGGTGACTCTAAATTGCCCATAGGAGTGAGTGTGTAGTTGTCAGTCTTAGTGTTAGCCCTGTGATAGGCTGTGACCTGTCCAGGGTGGACCCTGGCTTTTGCCCAGTGATGACTGGGATCAGCTCCAGCCCCACGGTGACTATGGTCAGGATGAGCAATATAGATAATGGATGGAACTCATAGATGGATTGCAATGAAACAGTGTACAGACATCCACTCACAGCGGAGCCTTTGGCGACTTTGTTAAACCCCTGGAATTTTCTTCTGCCACTGTGAGGACATTTTTCATTTTAAATGAGTTATTGACAATGAATGGTTGTCCTGCCCTAATAGTGGGAAGACCGACTGATAACCATGGTGGCCAACCCGACGTTGGTGATCCCTTGACTTTTCCTCTAGTGCTCAAAATCTAAATCACATTCCACCAACTGCATTTGTATGTCAGTGAAGATGAACTGAAGCAGCTCCGTAACATAGTAAGCTCACATAGTGAATGGGGTATACATGCTAAACATCAACATGTTAGCATGTGGAGCAGAGCTGCTGGCCTGACTACAGACTCCTAGTTTCATTACTACTTACCATTTAAGGCCTATGTATGTCTCTTAAAGGAACTCCAGAAACACAAATATGCAAATCTCCACAAACCAAGGCTAAGTTACAGTAAATATAAAATGGACATGATTCTTTCTAAATATGAAGTCTTTATTCCTCTTACTCAGGAACAGTCTATAAAAATAGACTAGTTGAAGTGATTCATGCAAACTTTCCCCCAGTAAATTGAGTGCGATATCCTCTCTATAGAAACATGTTGATGTAGCGTATTGACTAAACTGGAGGGATTGTTCACTCAGTGCAGGCTATCGTGTTGATCGAAATTAAAGAAGTCGCTTATTTTGAAGTGTTACTTCGTGTGTTGTCACAGAGATAGAATCTAATCAGCCACTTTGTTTTTAAGAACTGATGATATACCGGCCACTGCTGTTCTCCACTCTGTTACTTTTTTTTTTTTTTGCCATTCAAACATTATGGACATTTTTAAAAAGTCCATTTGGACATTCAGGAGGATCAACTGACCAGAACACTTGGTAAAGCCCTGAAGTGTTAACAGTAGCATGCATTTATTTGAAAGGAGAAGTGATACAGTGACACTAAAAATGATGCCGGCCACTGAGTCAGAAAAAAAAAA